CAGAGCTTTAACTGTTACGCAAAGAATTTCTAAAGTCCTCGATGAATTTTTTCCTATAGAATTCAATACAGATGGTTGTTGCAGATAACAGCGTTAACACTGTAAAAAAGAATGGTCTTGTTGTAATATTGAGACGAATGTTCACAGAGAAACGTACCAACAAACCTCAGTTTATCAGTTGTCAATACCATGTATTAGAAAAAATCCTCCGTATGGTGATGGATGAAGAACTTGGAAGTAAAACACAATCGCCAAACATCGAATATCCATTTGTATCTCAACTGTTGAAGGAGTACGAACAACTGAAAACACAGTTTGAAAACGGAACAGAAGTAGTTCTTGAAACATCAGGCCAGAGAGATGATATAAAATTTTTGTTTCATCTCACTCGAGTGTTTCAATTTTTTGAGGAAAAGGGACATCTTCCATTGATCAGGTTTCAGAAAATACCCAACATCAGCAATGCGAGGTGGAACCCCAGAGCAATATTAGCGATATTAGCTATTATTGCGATATTAACGTTATTTGCGATATTACGATATTAGCTATACTAGTGATCCTGGCCTCCATTTTAACTCCTTCAACAAGAACAGTTCTGCAGAGAGTATGCCGATTTATATCGTATGGCTGGGCAGACCATTGGTTTACAGACCAACTGAACAACGACAACAACTTTAATAACTTGGCTGAAATACTGAATCCATACAAAAATGTTTTAAGCTCTTTAAAAAAAAATGAGGAGAAGTTCCACTATCGATTCCTTCTGTGCACTAAGCAAGAGCAAGGTTAACGGTCTGAGTCATTATTGGATTGAAATTTTTTTGTATTACATGATTATGCCATTTTAAATCCATTTGGATATATAGTAGTACTTATGTCAAAATTAATTTTTCAATGGCGGGGTAAAATAATAGTTCATTTCTTGCTTTTTAGGTAAAAGTTCATCAAACTACAGTACAGGAGCATTAGGTTGATAAAAAATCATAACCCCAATGTTTATGTTATCTTAATTATTCATTGCATGCATGTATTTTCTCTTTGCGATTAGAAAAATTTGAAATTAAAATTAAAATAAAAAGTTTAAAAGCTTGTTATTTGATTACGTGTTTGGGACGAGATGACTTAATATGCACTTTATACAACTAATTTTATAACATTTTCAAAATTACTAACTACTCTTATTAAAGTAACACAAAATAAACACGCATTGCAAAAAAAAAATGATCCTAAAAAAAGTTCTACCTAAAAGACACTATCGGTTATGAACAACCGAAACCGAAACCGATGAATTTTTTTGAAGCGCTAAAATTAAAGTAAGTATTGAATCGTATAAAAATGCGTTTATATTATTTAAAAAAAAAAACAATTAGCTTTTTAAAATACATTATGTAAATATAGTTTCGTTTTAAAACATTTTTAAGTTTTTTTGTTGAGTTGTTATATGAAAAGCCATTTTGCCCCATTCACCATCTTACCCCATTTTCCCCCTAATATTAACATTAAATGCGCCAAAAGACTATATCATCTTATGAAAAAACATTTAAATATGGTTAATTTTATTAGTCTTCCTGAAAGCTTCTGAAGATATGCCAAACTGGGGAAAACAGGGGAAAGCTGAGAAAAAAAAAAGATATGATTATAAACATGATGAGCAAAACTAAAATGTTGATCAAAAACAAAGTTTTTTGCAACATCTAAATATACAGGAAATTTTTCGAAAAACACACAAAAAATCAGAAATAAAATAAAACTTAAGATAATATATATATATATATATATATATATATATATATATATATATATATATATATATATATATATATATATATATATATATATATATATATATATATATACATATATGTATATATGTATATATATATACATATATATATATATATATATATATATATATATATATATATATATATATATATATATATATATATATATATATATATATATATATATATATATATATATATATATGTATATATATATATATATATATATATATATATATATATATATATATATATATATATATATATATATATATTTATTTATTTTTATTTACATATAGAAAAAACAACTTTTCATGGGATTAATAGTTTCATGCCTATACGGCAATCATCAGCCATGTACTATATCAAAAACAAACAAACCGTTAATAAAATTACAAAATACAGTGGAGCGACATCTGACGTCTCTGTAGAGACAAAAAAAGAAAACCTCAAAGAAAATCTTATATAAATCAGCTAATCGCCAGTATCATAAAACGAAAGAAGGAATCTATTTTTATGCCTACAATTTGAAACCAACTCGTTCCTTTTGTTCAACAGGTTTTCCCCTGTATGCGTTTAAATGCGGTAGTGGTGTAGTGGTAGAGCGCTCGCTTCATAAACGAATGGTTCTGAGTTCGATCCCCACCACGTCCCTGGTAGTACCGCGCTCAACTCGTTTCTCCGCGCAGCGGCCTTGCTCATCAAGGTTCGTGTTTCGGAGTTATAGAGTTGAGAGAGGGTTATAACCACAAATAAGTAGCCTCCTCGTCTGTAGTGGCCTTCTCGGCCTTGAGGAGGTGAATTAAAATTAAAAAAAAATAATAATAATAATAAAATACTTTTCATTAAGACAAAGATTGCAAATTTTGGACGAAGGATTATATGTTTGGCAGCGCTTGATAATTTTCCATTTAATAACAAACAAAAAATTTTCTTCTTTAAGTTTCCAAATTTCTTTAGATAACTCCGTATCATTGCTGTACTTAATTAAATTAAAAGATTTTAAATGGTTTGCATACCTTAACTTGAAAGGGGTCTCGCTAATACCAATATAAACTTTATCTGTGTAATCTGGTTTATTGGATGAATATATATATATATATATATATATATATATATATATATATATATATATATATATATATATATATATATATATATATATATATATATACATATATATATATTTATATATATATATATATATATATATATATATATATATATATATATATATATATATATATATATATATATAGACATTATATAGATGCATTTTATCATTTTATTTTTTCATTGATATTTTACATTTTTTTCTGTCATTTGTCTGAAAAAAAATAATAAGCATGGAAATCTTATTTCTATTCAAGGCTTTCTATTCAAGCATCCGAGGGATGGCTAGATAGATAAAAAAAAAGAAACAATGTATCGTTTAAAACAATATCAGGTATTTTATTATTTTATTTTTTCATTGGTATTTACATTTTTTTTGTTTTTCAATTATCTGAAAAAATAAATATAAAGCATGGAACTCTCATTTCTATTCCATCCCCCATAAACCAATAAACTATCAAACCAATTCTTCTGTTTTAATTTGTTTAAAGTCATTACCCCGTTTTGGCTTATTACCACGCGCTGCATGAAAAGCAAATAAACTCCTAAATCATATTTAATAAAATTTGTGCTGATTTTAAAGTTGCTTTTTCTATATTTCATAGGAGAAAGTTAAGATGTTACTAATGAAATGACCGCTTCTTGGAGCGAAACAACTTTGCCGACTATATTGTTTTGTTAGAATTCGCGGGATATATTCAATGCAGATGTGTTCGGTTTGTATTATAAAGCACTTCCAAAAAAAAGTATGCGATTGAAATCTGAGAAATGTAATGGAGGTAAGAAATGCAAGATACGACTAACTGAGCTTGCTGCAGTTAACATGTGTGCGGAAAAACTTCTAATTTTTTTTATTGGGAAATCAAACAAACCCTGTTGAATTAGAAGCACTCCATGTCGTTACCGTGCACAAAAAAATAACTGGATGATCTCTAAACTATTTGAGGAGTGGGTTAGAGAAAACGAAAGAGAGTTTGCATTAGGAGGCCTTTAGCTAGGATTGGTTATTAATAGTTGCACTGCCCATCCGCATATTAAAAATCTTAAATCGCTCACACTCTACTTTTACCCCCAAACACAACCTCATGTTTTCAGCCGACGGATCAAGGAGTGACTCGATTGCTGAAGTGTAAGTACCGAACTAATTTAATTAACTAGATCATAAATGCAATTGATAACGGAAAACAAATGCCTTCAATCTCCATACTTAAAGCTATGAAAATATTTGTTCATTCGTGGAATGAAGTTTCAGAAACCACTATTATTAACTGCTTGCACAAAGCAGGATTTGAGGAAGTATTAGTACCAGACAAAGATAAAGAATACATCCCTGCATTAAAATTTTTACTTACATTACATTAAAATTAATACTTCCCTGCATTAAAAAATTCAATTGATCAGTTACGTTAGCGTGATGACGATCTTTTTCTGGATGATTTTACTTACAAATATATTTTAACAATTGATGATAACGTTTCGGTTATGGGAGGAGTAATGAATGATGAAGATACTGTTCAAGATATAATAAAGGTTGCTGAAGAAGAAATGCAAGAAGAAGAAGAAAACAATACGTCGAATAAAATGGTGACAAATCCAATGACTGTAGTAGTTCTTAAACCATTTGATACCCTTTTAATTTTTTAATGTTTACTCAGAGTGGTGAAATTGGAAGAGGAGCTTTGAATGCTTCAATGCTGTTTAAAAAAGAATTGTGCGATTCACTGAAACAAACATCAATTTCGAACGTTTTGCGTTTATAGTATATATTATATATACAAAAATATTTATTTCACATAAGGTTATATTGTTCTATAAATATGTACATAATATTCATATCTCGAGAAACACTCGATAAGTCTCGAAATCTCAATAAGTCGGACATTTTCTGAAAATGCAACTTAACTTGTGGTGAAACTTCTGTTTCATTCCAAATTTATTGTTTTAACATTACCCTTTTTAGTCTAAATTGACTGTACCTCTAAAAATCTTAAATCTAGGTTTATCTATTTTTGTTTTTATATGGTAATTAATAAATTGTATGGTAATTAATAAATTGAATTGACCCATGGTAATTAATAAATTGAAACAATGAAAAGGGCTTACTTGTTTATTAAAAATCATTGGGTTATTTTCTAAATTGTTGATCTTGTTTCAAATACGTCATCTAAATTAAATTTTGTAATTAAGTCATACTTTTAAACTACAAAAAAGAAAATTTATTCTAAAAATCTATTAGATTACCATCATTTATTTGTGTTAAGATCAATTTTTTTTTTTAAGGTCGGCTTAAATTATCACAATTTCATTTATAACTAAAATTACATAATGTAATAAATATTAACCTAAATAATGTTTAATTTATTTGTTTAAACTTTTACTGAATTGTGTTAAAATTTATTTCTTTATCTTACGCGAGACAACTTTGATTTATTTATTTAGTATTATGTTTCAATTAATTATGTAAAGTTTGTAGTTATGCAAAGTATTGTAAATTTAATTGTGTGAGATATAATTTACAAGATATAATTTATAAGTGACGATTCAATGACTTATGTGAAGTTTATTTTACTTGTGTACATATTGTAAAGTTTGTTAGTCTTTTTTACCGCTATTATAAACAAATTTCTCAGTTTCTCCTATATATGAGAGTATGTAAATTAGTTGAATGAAAGTCATTTTTTAAATTATTTTAAAATTTTTGTAGCGATAACTGAGTATTTATAAAAAACATACTATTTTCCTTTATAAATGAAACATTTGATGAATTTATATGCTAGCCTAGTCAGGGTCGACGACACGGGTTTTGAAGTGGGAGGGGCACAATCATCAATTTGTGAAAAAAGTCCTCTATATCAAGATTTTTCTAAAAAAAAAAAAAAGGTAATATAGAAAAACAGTGTGTTGAAGGGGGGAGGGTAACCCCTATCCCCCCCCCCCCCCCACACACTTTTTTTCTATAATACTTTTTTTTATTTAGAAAAATCTTGAAATAGAGGACTTTCTTGCCCCCTCCCTTCCCCCAGTGTCGTCGGCTCTGTTAGTTTAACGTTTAATTTTTCGTATAACTAATTATACGACAAGTTATAACGTTTAATTTGTCGTTTAACTAGTTACATGACAAATTAACCGTGACACTACTGCTATAAAGGAACTTGGTTTGAATGTTTTATATGAATATTTAGTTATCGCCCGATAATTAAATACTTGTATAACAATTTTAAAATAATTAAAAATTATTTAAATTTAATTATTTTACAACGTCCTATATATAGGAGAACTAACAAATATGGTAATAATGGCAAGAGAAGAGACTAACAAATTTGATGATTATTGCAGTAAGTTAAATTTCAAACAAATAAACTAAACTTCATATAAATCATTGAACCCGAGCTCGCGTTTATCTATACCTTTTCATATTACTACCATTTTAAGTTAAAGAAAAATTGTAACAAATACTTTTTTTACAATAAGAGTAAAAGTTACAATTAGAGTAATTAGTACAGTTAGAGTAAAAGTAATTAGTACAATTAGAGTAAAATTTTGAAAAGAACTACGGATTTTGATTTTTCATTAAAGTTAGAGGTAAGATTATACTAATATTATGTGAAGAATACAAATTCAACGATGTTAAGTAAAAATTAATGAAAAAAACTCCTCCATTTGTACACAAGTGAGTCAAACTCTTTTAGTGTAATAATCAGGGATTTTTCGAACTTTTTTTAAAAAAGAATTCCACTAGTCCTAATCTGATTGTGGTAATATCTATAATATGTCTGATCGTCCTAATATCTATAATAAATCTGATTAAATAAAATTATTGCTTGTATTGATAGTTTAATTAAAATTATCGTGTAACGTAAAGTTTTGAAATAAAAAAAAATTCATTTCGAGTTTGATTTAAATTTACATCATTTTTTTAAATTTATTGAATGTAAAGTAGAAATAAACCAAATTAGCAAAAATAAACAATCTTGCTTACTTGATTATTGATTATTCCCATTTCAATATACTTACAAAAACATCATTAAGGTCTTATTATGGTATTCCAAAGAAGTAAACGGTTAGAATAAGTTTATTATTAACTATTTGCTTAACTTGCTTATTGTAAATGATATGCTTATTACAGTTTTCAATATAGTTCCTTTTATTAAAACCTTTTACGGGGTTCTTTAAAAAGATTGAATGAAGTATAATCATTTTTGTCTTCTTTGAATCCCGTTTTGCTTAATTCTCTAGTTTATATTCATAGTACATATTTTATATAAATTTTATTTTCTTCTTCGTGTTCCGGGTATACCTTTTTTTTTGAATAGTTATGTTTACTGTATTTATTGTTAAATATTAAAATAAATGTGAAAAAAAAAAGGTTTTGTTACTTCTTTTTAATTCTAGCTTCGTGCTATTTGGCATGTATGCAGTGTACTTGAGCTCACAAGTTTAGCAGTTTATTCATTTTAACAGTTTATTCACTTTAACAGTTTATCGCGTTTTTAAAACGTTTTATTATAAAGTTTGATAAAACATCTATTAGCTAGAGATTAATTTTTTTTTACTTGTTTTATAACAAACAACAATTAGGAATTTATTACATCGAACTATATTAAGAATTAGATTTTTCTATTTACTTTTTTGCAGCCGAGATTTTAAGATAGAGTTAGCACTATTTACACTCACCCTGCTATGCCTATTATATGTGAATATCAGCTCTTTTTAATATTCTTTATCAAGTCGTAGGCAGTACAGGGAATTTAAAAAATCACACGTTTAACAAAGAACTGAGCAATCACGCTGAAACATGATTATGCATAGATGATATAAAATTATGCTCAGATATTGTAAAAATCTTTTTTTTTTTAATATAATATAATAAAATAAAATAAAATAATAATAAAATAAAATAATAATAAAAGTTGACTTTAAAATGTTTTAATAAATTTTTCATCATGTTTGTTTATTAAAAGGTACATCAAAAATGTTTAAATAAATTCTGCATTATATGTTTTTTTATACGTAAATTCTGGATATGTATACATTATTTATTTTTAGATTCTCGTGTTTTTAAACTTTAATTATTTGAAAGGCGAAAATAACTTAGCGTTGAAGTAAGTTATATAAATTTATAAAAAAGTTCAGCAGTAAGAGTTTAGAGTAAACTCTTAACTAGGTTAATACTTAAGACACAAAAAACAGCATAGTTTGAAATATAAATGCTGACCCACGACAATATGTTAGCGTTATAGAACAAAATGTTAGCGTTATAGAACAAAATGAAAAACTTTCATACATACTTTTAAACACCATATTAAAAATGATCCACGCAATAATCATTATGATCATCACCATATGGATCTAAAATCGGTTTTGCAACAATATATTTTTACTTTCATTTTTGTATATATACGTATTATCATGATTATTCATCGGGAAAAGTTATTTTATCTAAAAATAATTTCTTATTGTTTAAAAATGGCAATTAAGGAAAGTTTGAAACTCACTCTATTTGAGGGGGTTGTCAACTTTACAAGGTCATAAATTTTGAACGTTAAAATATTTTTTAATCGAGAATCAGACAGATGAATTTTAGTCGAGTCAATAATGGTAGAGTTTTTATAAAGTGCAATCATTGCCCCTCTTCACTAAAAAATGTTTAAACTTTTGGGCCCGAATTTGAGGATACTATTGTTCCCAAACTCTTATCAAAATAATTTTTTTTTAAACATATTATTTTTATTAGTGAAAAATACATATCTGGAGTTACTTATCTTGAAGAATAAAAAATATTGAAATTGATCTTTTAGTTTATATTCAATTGTTTTTCAATAAGAGAATGCTTTAAACGACACAAATTAATGTTTACATTTATATTTATTTCAATTTACAATCAATAATAGTTATAAAAGGGAAACATATATATCATAACATATTTAGTTTTAAAGTAAAACTATTTTAAAGAAGGAATGTCGGGAGTTGTGCGTAATGATGGTTTTAAGGAAGCTTTACAAAACCAACCACCCCATCTCCTCACCCCTTTGCGCTGACCTTGGTAGCTTATTTAATTCTAAAGATATTTGTGTTTCACCATGTTTAGTTTTTAGAGTTTTTAAACATTTGGTACTGAAAATTGAAAGAAAATTATTTAAGTATTTTTTTATTTTTACGGTATTATGCGGTAAAATGAACATGTTTTAGCAAACTTATTCAAAAATTCTAGTAGAAATGATATCATGAACCCAAATTATTTATATCATATATTTATAAATTTCTTTAGTTGGACTTATATCAAAGTCCGGAAAATTTAGTTAACAAAAAACTTAGTGGTATAAGTTTAGATAACTAAAAAGTTAGTCGGGTAATTTTAGATAATTAAAAAGTTAGTCGGGTATTTTAAGTTAACTAAAAAGATAATCGACTAACTTTAGTTTGACTTAAAAGTTAGTCGGGAATTTTGAGTTAGCTAAAAATTTAGTCCACTATTTTTCCTTAACTATAAAATTAGTCGGGTTATTTTAATTGACTAAAAAGTTAGACTAATTTTAGTTTAATTAAAAAGTTAGTTGATTGTTTTAAGTTAACTAAAAAGTTAGTCGGGTAATTTTAGTTAGCTAAAAAGTTAGTCGACTGATTTTAGTTAACTAAAAAGTTAGTCGACTAATTTAAGTTAACTAAAAGGTTAGTGAAAAATTTAGTTAACTAAAAAGTTAGTCGACTAAATTTAGTTAACCAAAAAGTTATTCGACTAATTTAAATTAGACTAAATAATTAGTCGAGTAATTTTTGTTAAGTAAAAAGTTAGTCGACTAATTTTAGTTAGGCTAAAAAATTAGTCAACAAGTTTTAATTACGGTTTTTTAAGTTTAGTTAGTTACAATTTTTAATTTTGGTCACAACACTACTTTCTAATGTTTTTCTACATTTAGTACAAATGCCATTAGGAAAATGTTCACTGTTCAAATCAAATGGTTTTAAAAAAACTTATGTGTTCTGTTCAATTTCACATTTCCTTCTTTAACTTCTGTCATTCCTGATTCTTTTGAAAAATAATTAAGCACACAAAAGCTCTATTATCTTTACGAGAGTTTTCAATTTTGGCATTTTAAAACAATATGAGCAATAATATTCAATTTAAAAATTTTTTTTTATTAACTATTGCAACAGATAAAAAAAGCTCATAATATCTATTAATAAATTTTTTTGTGGGCTACCACAAGGAAGTATGCAAAACAGAGGAATGTTGTTTATACATTTAACTTGTTGTGAAAACGTGTTTTTACCGTAGTTAACGTATTGTTTAAAACTTCTTATAAAATTTGGATCCAAAAGATCCAAGTATTTGTTAGGAAAGAGGACAAAAATAGCACTCAAAAAAAAACTCTACTATTATGATTTCGACTAGAATTCATCTATATTTTACTAAATTCTCATTTAGTATAAAAATATTTTAACGTTGTAAATTATGACCTCATAAAGTTGACAACCTCCTTTTTCAAACTTTCGTTGCTCGCCAAACTTTTTTTAACTAAGAAAATTTGTTTAGATGAATTAATTTTTCCGATGAATTTCGGAATTTCGATGAATGAAGATGAATTAATTTTTTAGATGTATTTCGGAACTTTGCAGTATTGTAAAATCTATTTTATGATACTACGAGGGTCTTAATTTTTTGTAAAACATTCTTATTTGATACTAGTATCAGTATTACAAAATTTAAAGTTTGCACCATCTTTGGAAGTTACCTATTTTGAACACCAAAAATTCATGACTTACCCGTTTAAACCCCTTTTTTTTAAAAGACGACGACAGAATATTTTTATGATTTAGATAATAGTTGTTCAAAGTACCGTGGTTGTGAAAATATAAATCATTTCTGGTTGACATTTTTTTTGATATAAATTATTTCCGCTAGGGTGTGTCCAAGTTTGTTTTTTATTTTCAAACCATTTCAAAACAAAAAAAAAATGTTATCGAGTCATTGATTGTGTCATGTATCTCAAAATAATGTTTTTATACTATACTAAAACATAAGTTAAAATCAAAAAAGTTGCGGAGAATCAAAAAAGTTGCGGAGAAAGCACAAGTAATAAAAATCTTTTTATATAAAGCCAACGTTCCTCATTTGCATTAGGCCATCCTGTCCCGTCGTAATGTTTAAAGTATAAATTTAATTTATACTTTAAACATTACGTTTTTATTTTTAAACCATAAATCAATATTATTTAACATTAAATATTAAAATAATTCTTAACTATAAGTTTTAAATTTAGAACTAGGATAATGACTGTCAAACACCTGTAAGCATATTAATGTGAAAATAACCTGTTTATAATTATTTGATGTATTAAAATTACTTAGATGTAAAATTGCTTAAATAACCTCACTCTTTTAAGTGTGATTTAATGAATATGATTTTTTTTCAGAAAGAGTGTCGAATTATTTTTCAGAAAGAGTGTCGAACATATTTTATGTTATTTAAATTATTTTTTTGAGCAAGCATACGAACTTTTTTCTTAATGCTCGTCGTTAAGCTTAGCACAGTGTTATCGGGACCTTTGACACAAATTTTTCTCCACTTTTTGAGGAGCTTGAACTTTGCTTCAACTTTACCTTGTGTTCTATTTAACCTAAACTTACAAACTGCTCAAAATATTTTTATAGGATGGATCTGCGGAATCGGTTGGACTATGACTTTTAGTTGTGTTATTAACGCAATTTCCTCGGTACCAATTTATTGCTGCATTAGCATAGTGACAGTTTGGTAAATCATAGTGACAGCTCTCATACCAGCATAAAAGCTTATACCAGTATTATTCCAGCATAAAATCTGTGACCAGGTATTTTTCTTAAGTCTATTTAAAATATCTATATAAATATTGTAAATACTTTCTCTTTTAATAAGAGTGAATGCTGTAAAAACCCTCAAATTTTAATGCACAAAAGAAACATATGTTTTGTATCTTTTTGATTGTTCATGTCAGATTCTGCAAATATAAATGACGAAGTTTCAAGGTCAACTCCTTTTTTTAAGTAAATTTTTTCGTCGCTATACTTTAAACTAATGCTAACTAATGTATTTTATTTTGTAAGTACAAATAATTCACCAAAGTAGCAAAAGCTACTGATACAAAAAAGTAAGCAATAGAAATAGGCTAAAATTTTTTTTTAAACTGTATAAATCTGGTTTAAAAGAACTACCAGGAAATGGCAAGTCTAAAAATTTTAATTTTAAAAGATGCTGACGCAGATTTTATGTAGCGACGCAAAGGTATGCGATAGTCTACCTATTTACATAAATTGGCATGCTTAATTTACATAATTTATGCATTTACATAATTTGTCTGAGAATAGTAATCACAAATTTTGAATAGTGTAAAAACTGTGAAGTGTAAAAAAAAAAAAGATGTAAAAACTGTGAAGGTTAATTTCAGAAACTGATACAAAAAAGTAAGCAACAGAAAAAGATTTAAAAATTGAAAAAGATTTATAAATTGTAGTATAAAACGAGACATAAAAATTCAAT